CCTGGCCTGTGCCTCCCCCTCATGCCCCGCCCCGGGGCCCAGATTCCGGCGTCTGGGGGCGGACGGGAGACGCCCGGCCCGTCTACCCGCCGCGGGCCGCGTCTGCTCTGCCGGGCGGGGCTGCCAGCGCCGGGAGGGAGAGGGAAGCCCGCCGGCCTGGGACCTGCCCCGGCACTCCACCCCGGGACGCAGGCGCCGGGCCTCCTCCCTGGGACCCCGCAGTGCGCGCCCCAGCGCCTCCTGCCTCCGATCCCAGCGTCCAGGCCCCTAAGCCTTCCTCCCCCAGACCCGGGCCCTGACGCCCGGTCCTCCTCCAGACCCGGGCCCTGACGCCCGGTCCTCCTGCCCCAAACCCACGAGTCCGGGCCCCAGCCCCTCTTCCCTCAGACCCAGGCGTCCGACTCGAGCTCCCCGCGTCCCTCCCTGCAGGTGTTTGCCACCTGGTCCTGGCCGTGCTAAGCCTGTGGCCAGGCAGGGTGTTTGCCCCCGGGCCACCTCCTGGGCCCCCGCGGGCCTCCCCAGACCCTCGAACCGAGCTGGACAGCGCCGTGCTCCTGACCCGGGCCCTCCTGGCAGACACCCGGCAGCTGGCCGCGCAGCTGGTAGGAGCCTGGAGGGTCGTGAGCGGGAGGGGCAGGGCGGAGCACTGCGAGAGATGCGAGCAAAGGGGATTCAGAGAGAACAGGACAGACCCTGGTGAGATGGGGAGACAGAGACAGACAGACGGACCCTGGTGAGATGGGGAGACAGAGACAGAGAGACGGACCCTGGTGAGATGGGGACCCACAAGGACAGACAGAGAGACGAACCCTGATGAGATAGGGACCCACAGGGACAGACAGACGGATCCTGATGAGATAGGGAGACAGAGACAGACAGACAGGTCCTCATGAGATGGGGACCCACAGGGACAGACAGACAGACCCTGATGAGATAGAGAGCCAGAGACAGACAGATGAACCCTGATGAGATGGGGACCCACAGAGACAGACAGACGGACCCTGACGAGATGGGGAGACAGAGACAGACAGACAGGTCCTCATGAGATGGGGACCCACAGGGACAGACAGACAGACCCTGATGAGATGGGGAAACAGAGACTGACTGAGACGGATGAAGCAAACCAGGGCTAAGGAGTCCTGGCGTGGCCAGACATGGGCACCCACCAAGACAGAGCTGGGAGGTGACCACAGGACCCCCCAGAGAGTCAGCAGGGACCGAGGCGTGCAGACACCTAGAGATACCAACAGAGAGGCTGTGGGTGGGAAACAGCAGGTGAGGGCAAGCCTGGGAGCCCTGGTCCCAGCCCGGGATGGGGGGCAGGATAGCAAGGGAAGAGGGGTGCAGGGAGCTCTAGCTAGGTGGGCCCTCACAGCTCTTTCTTCACCAGCGAGACAAATTCCCAGCTGACGGGGACCACAGCCTGGACTCTTTGCCCACCTTGGCCATGAGTGCGGGGGCGTTGGGAGCCCTGCAGGTAAGTGCAGGGCAGGGTTGAGGGTGACCATGGGTGTTGTGCACTGAAGGGGCTGGGGGTCTTAGTGGCCAGGGCAGCCATGTGCTTGGTGCTCCCTGACGCCTGCCCCTTCCCCAGCTCCCGGGCGTGCTGACACGACTGCGGACTGACCTGTTGTCCTACCTGAGGCATGTTCAGTGGTTGCGCCGGGCTGGCGGGCCTTCCCTGAAGACCTTGGAGCCTGAGCTGGGCTCCCTGCAGACCCGGCTGGACAGACTCCTGCGCCGGCTGCAACTCCTGGTAAAGCCTCGTTTCCAAGTTCTGAGACCCCAGACCCTGAGGCACTGAGCCTTTGACCCCAGGACCCCAGACCCTAAACTCTGGCCCTGAAAAACCAAACTCAACTGCAAAACTCTTATTCTGAGATACCCCACCACTCCCACTGCAACCTCAAGACCCTTGAAACCTGTGACCCCAGGACCCTAAACTCTAGGCCCTGGCTCTGAAACCCCAGCACTGTGATGCCAGGATCCTGTGACCCCATGACCTTAAGACTATGTGATTCCACACCCCGAAACCCTGCCCTGAAACTCCAAAGCCTCAGACCAAGACTTTGAGACCCCAGAGTCCATGATCTCATAACCCCAAGATCCTAGACCTTGAGAACTCAGACCCCAAGATCTGCCCTGAAACGGTAGGCCATATGCCTTAAGACCCTGAAACAAAGACCCCCAACCCCAAGGACTTGCGTCTCAAGGGTCCAGACCCTCAGGCCAGGACTTGGAGACTCTGGTCTCAAGACACTGAGATTCCAGATCTTGAGACCCTGACATCTCAAAGTCCTAAACCCTGAACTTAAAATGCAACACTCTGACCCAGGAGCCTTAACTCCAGCCTTGGGATCCTGGCTCTTCAAATCCCAGACCTCAAGAACCTAGACCTGAGATCTCAAACTGCAAGACCCAGCCCCCAAGATTCTGGTCCCCAAACCCTAGCTCCTGAAGACCCCAGACCTCAAGACCTGAGCCCCTACATCTCACTCCCAAGACCTCTGAATCCCAGAGACCCAGAACCCTGGCTCTAAGAGCCCGAAACCACACATTTGGTCGTGAGCCCTCAAATCCCCAAGACCCTGGCTTCCAAAACTCCAGACTCAAAACCCTAAGACCAGAAGATTTCAGACCCCAGTTCCTTTCCCAGAGCCTGCCCCCCAAAAGACACTGGACCTAAAGTTCCAGGTCCCAGCTCTGAGATCCCAAACTGGAGACCCCAGACCTTACCCACATGTCCCTGGCCTTGATCCTAGAGACTCTAGACCTAAGGTCCCAGCCTAAGACCCCAGGCCTGATTCTGAATTTGATGCCACAGAACCCAGACCCCAACAATGTCCCTCAAACCCTACCTCCAAGACCCGAGACCTTCCAACCCAGCCCTGACCCAATCATAAAGACCTCAGACCCCACCCCTCACTTAGTTCCAAGATCCCAGCCCTTCCCACCCAACCCTGACCCAACCACAGAGACCCTGGACCCCAGCCCTCACTTAGCTCCAAGATCCCAGCCTTTGCCAGCCAACCACAGAGACCCCGGACCTCAGCCCTCGTGTAGCACCAAGACCCCAGCCCTTCCCATCCAACCCTGATCCAACCATAGAGACCCCAGACCCCAGCCTGCACTTAGCTCCAAGATAGCAGTCTTCTCTGAAGAACACCCCTGAACCTTCCTCTGAGACTCCAGCCTTAACCCCGGCCCCTACAACCCCAGCCCTTTCGCCCCCGGCCTCAATTTTCCAATCCCAACATCCATCAGGACACCCTCTGCCCAGATGCCTCCTCACACAGCCAGGCTGGAAATAAGCAACAGAGACCCCTCCAGCTCAAATTCAGTAGACACCCCTCATTGTACCCCAGGTGCTGACCCTCTTGCTCTCTCTCAACAGATGTCCCGCCTGGCCCTGCCCCAGGTGCCCCCAGACCCTCCGGCGCCCCCACTGGCCCCTCCCGCCTCAGCCTGGGCAGGCATCAGGGCGGCCCACGCCGTGCTGGGGGGTCTGCACCTCACCCTTGACTGGGCTGTGCGGGGGCTGCTGGTACTGAGGACTCGGCTGTGACCCCCGGACCCAGAGCCACGGTCGTCCTGCAAAGCCAGATCTTATTTATTTATTTATTTAGGGACTGGGGGTGTGACAGCCAGAGGACGCCCCTATCCCCTCTCCCGTTAGATGCTGTCTCTTAGGGAGACTTGGTGCGGGGCGGGGTGTGCATTATTTATACTTATTTATTTGAGGGAGATGAGAGGCAGAGGAGCTCCTGGGGTCCCCAGGGAGGTGGGAACTGGGTACCCGGATTCTTGGGTCTCTAAACAGTCCAGCCCCAGTGGTGACCTCCTGGCTTCCGCCCCTCGGGCCTGGGCAGGAATATCTATTATTTATTAGACAGTAATAACTTGTGTAGGTTGGGGTGGGGAGGGCGGGGCAAAGGGGGCCTGGGTTTTTGTACAAAAATATAAGACACCTTTGCAAGAAGCGGAAATTAAATTTGTCATGTACATGCATTTCGGCTGGTTTTTCTCAGGGCTGGTGTTCTGGTTCCGTGCCTCTCTGACCATATATACCACAAATGGGACGGCCTTAAGAAACAGGACTTTATTCTTTTACAGTTTGGGAGGCTAGAAGTCCAAGTTCAAAGTGCCAGGCCCTAGGGGCTGGATGAAAGCCCCTCAACCTTGGGGTCCAGCTCTGCCTCCTGCTCCTGGGCCCACTGGAGCTAGAGGCGTTTCTTCACTCAGACAGCTGCTGGCTGCTGAGGCTGAGAAGCCCCAAGGTTGGCAAGTAAAAAGGCACAGCCCCGATGTTACCAAACCACACGGCAGGCCATTGACTTAAGTCCATTGTGAGTCCCAAGGTCGGCAGAACATGGCAGGCTGCCGAGCAACGACACGGCTACATGCAGGGTCCAAGCGTGCCACAGGCTAGAGACCATTCCCAAGGCTTCTCCTTATATACAGGAAGCAGAACACATCCCAAAGGCAGCTACTCAGTTGCTTGTGGTAGATCCCACCATGGAGTTGATTGCCAGTCTCATCATGGGGAATACTCCATCCAGCTGCCCAGCCACTCAGCCAGGCCCAGCCAAGTTGACGGACAAACATGACACCACAGCTGGGAACTGGGGTGCTGGGGTCCTGAGGCATCAGGGCAAGATGGGAAGGCCTTGTCAGTCAAGGCTGGGGAGGCCGACTTCTCGTGGTTGCAGAGTCTGTGGGTCTCTGGGGGTTGTGATCTGTTGTTAGGTGTGATGGACTTGGTTCCAACGTAGTGACCCCATGCACAACAGAATGAAACCCTGCCCGCTCCTGCACCAGCCTCACAGTCGTTGGTTTACTCGAGCCCATTGTTGCAGCCGTTGGGTCAATCCACTCGTTGAGTGTGTTCTTCTTTTTCTTGTTTCATTTCTGAGGGGGTTATGGTTGTTGTTAGGTGCCATTGAGTTGGCTCCAACTCATAGCAACTCCATGTTCGACAAAACGAACCCCTGCCCAGTCCTGCTCCCTCCCCACAATGTTGCTGTGTTGGGCCCGTTGTCGCAGCCGCCGTGTGAATCCATCTCGTTGGGGTCTTCTCTCGTTCAGTGATCTGCTTTACCAAGCGTGGTGTCCTTCTCTCGGGACTGGTCCCTCCTGACAACATGTCCAAAGGACGGGACATGAAGTCCAGCCATCCTCACTCTTAAGGAGCATTCTGGCCGCACTTCTTCCAAGACTCATTGGTTCATTCTTCTGGCCCTCCATGTCGTATGTCTGATGTTCCTCACCAACACCGTAATTCAAATGCATCAATTCTTCTCTATCGAGGTAGGGTTAAAACAAAAAAATGTGTAGAGTAGAAAAAAAAAAAAAACCCAAACCCACTGTCATCAAGTCAAGTCCAACTCACGGCGACCCCACATGTTACCAGGTAGAGCTGTCGCACAGGGCTTCCATGGCTGTCGTCTTTACAAGGAGTCTCCAGGTGCCACAAACGGCTGGAAGGCTGACGGTTCGAACCTACATGGGGCACCTCGGACAACCGGCCTTCGGAAAGTTCACAGCCCTGAATACGTGGGGTTGCCAGAAATCAGCATCGACTTGACAACAGCTGACAACAATCTCCACCGAAGCCTGTCACCAAGCCTTCTCTCAAACTGCCAACCTTTAGGTCCGTGGTCAAACATAAAGTGTTTGCACCACGCAGGGACCTCAGGGGCAGAGTCAGCACTCAAGAAGTATTTGAGTGGATGAAAGAAGCTTCCAGAAGATCATCCCATGACCAGCAACACACTTTACGGAACCCTTGAACCTGGACAAAGCCGCAAGCTCAAGGTCGTTCAGCATGGTATTGTTCTCAATAGCAAATTGGAAGTAAGTGTCCAGCAAACTTATTGCAATACAGTCAATTCCTACTCACAGTGCCCCTAGAGGACAGAGTGGAACTGCCCACAGGGTCTCCAAGGCTGTCAATCTTCACAGAAGCAAAGCCCAAACCACACCCACTGCCCTGGAGTCCATTCTGACCCACAGCGCCCCTAGAGGACAGAGTGGAACTGCCCACAGGGTCTCCAAAGCTGTCAATCTTTATGGAACATGGAAGCTGACTGCCACATGTTTCTAGCTAGCTAGTAGCTAGCAGGTTCGAGTCCCCAACCTCTCCTGTCATCTTCATTAGCCACCATGAAGTTGGCGTCTCACTCACGGGGACTGCGGGCACACAGGAGAAACGCTACACCCTGTGCCCTCCCTGAGACCAGCTGCAGTCAGATCACCAGGGTGAAGGTGTTTTCACCAACTGCTTTTCTGAAGTCGGTTACCAGACCTTTCCTCCTCATCTGTTTCCGTCTGGAAGCGCCACTAGGATCTGTTCAGCATCCTAGCAACGTGGAACCGCCACTGCCAGGCAGGTGGCTGTGTGGGAGATGCGTTGGTCAGTGATCAAACCCGGGTGTCTCTGTGTGGAAGGCGGGAGCTCTATCCCTGAACCACACTGCCCCTGTCTTAGCTGGTGCTGTCAGAAATGCCACAATGGGTGGTGTCAAAGAACAGACATGTCTTTTCCTCACAATTCTAGTGGCTAAAAGACCGCTTCAGGGTCTCAGCCACGCCAGTCCGTCCTCTGGGCTCTCTCCTAGTTCCTGGTGTCCGTGGCGAGCTCGGCGTTCCTTCCCTGGCAGACACAGCCTCACACGGCATCTGTGTCTTCCCCCGTAAGTGTGCTCTGTGTACTTGGCTCCTTTTGTACCCCAGAAGTTGTTAGGTTTCCACCGGGAGAGAGTGGACGAGTACTGTCACAGTGTGGGATTACAATCAATGTCACAAAACAAAAGGTGTATGAAACGTTGCATGGAAAACCAGTTTGTTCTGCACACTTCCACTGAATCACAATAAAAAGTTAAAAATAATAATAATTAGGCTTAGGAGCCACCCAGCTCTGGTTTGATCTCATTAAAAACAAAAGAAAGCCTGTTGCCAGGCAGGATCACGTATGTCCTACAGCTGCAGGCGTTAGGACCTCAGGTGAAGCAATTCCGTCCACAACGCTGGGGTTCAGAGAGGACATGGGTCTTATGTAGGGTCAGCAGAAGGGTGGTGGAGCTGGCGTTGTAATTCAGGCCACGTATATTAGAGTCAGAAACCTACTGGACAGAGTTTGTTGACAGTATCCCATGCTGTGGTACCATGAATTACTTAATGTGGCCATGCATAGTCTTGGGACTCTGGCAAAATGATTGGGTGGGACTATGCAAATAAGGTGCTCGTGGGCTGCCAAGAGGATTGGACAGCATTACTCATAATGCAAATAAGGTGCATGGAACTCTTGGGGGGCATGCAATGAGGTGTATGGAACCAGAGCAGAGGAGAGCCTCACTACCACCAGGAGAAAGAGACAGAGTGGAGGGTGTCCTTTGGACCTGGGGTCCCTGCACTGGGAACCTCCTAGACCCAGGAGCCAGAGAGGGACAGCTGCAACCACAGCTCCAGTACCAGGTGCCAGGGAGCAACAGCCGAAAAACGGCAGTGGCAGAACCGAAGACTGGCTCAGACGGCACAGTGGGCGTCCCGGTGAGGAGACAGTGGGCATGCCGAGCCCTGAAGTGAGAGAGCGCTGAGGCTTGCTGGTGGAGTGGGGTCCACTCGGCCACTTCCCGGTAGAGCTACAGAGCTGTGTTAACACTTGCCTGACCAGGCCAGACCAAGACGACTGAGGGGCCGAGAGGCTGAGGGGCTGAGGGGCCTGCCTGTGGGCATGGCTGGGAAGAGCCTGTCCTGATGGAGAACGGTATCTGAGTCGTTCCTGAACCCGAATCGTGGCCTGTTACTTCCCTAATTAACCCCGTAACTGTGAGTAGTGTCTGTGAGTTCCATGTGACCATTGTAATGAATTATCGAACCCAGCAGAGAGGTACTGAGTGCCGTGGGAGGGACGGCTGGGGTCAGAATCGGTGAAAAGTTTGGAGAGAGGAGGTGTGTCTGACCTCTGCCTCACAGGCATCAGTCCTGGGCTGTTGAGGCTGATGGTGACTTTCCTCCCCCTTGTAAAGTTAGACGTGGAGGTCTGATGTGGCCACCAAGCCACTGTCACCCAGACTCTCCAGGGACGCTGATTCTTTTAAAATATACTATTTTTCAGGGGACCAGGTTTGCTGATCTGATAGGGCCTGGTGGAACCCCTGAGACTATGGTCCCCAGCTGCCCTTCAGCTCTGGAAGACACCTATGTCTTCTAGCCAAACAAAAGACAGGCATTTGAGTTGAACATGTACCTGAGGTAGATACACTCCTTGGAGAGAACAATCATGGGAGAAAGAAGGGCTGTGTGTGCACAGGGAGACAGTTCAGGGGGCAGGAGTGCATGGAGGGATGGACACAGGGAAGAGGTAACTATCGGGAAGAAGTGGGAGGGGATCTGTTGTATTGGGGTAAATTACAGTCAATGTCATGAGACAAAGTATATATGAACTGCTGTATGGAAAGTGAATTTGCTCTAACTTTTCACTCAAATCACAATTAAAAAAAAAAGAAGAAGAAAAAAAATTTTATTATTTTTCAGTGAAAGTTTACAAAGCAAAGTGGTTCTCATTTGAGTTTCTGCACAATTTGTTCAGAGGCAGTAGTTACATTTTCACACTAGTCGGCACTCTCTTCCGTTGCATTCTGATTGTTCTGTTTCCAGCATTCTAGTCGCCCTGCCTCCTTATCATCTTGTCTTTGCTGCAGAGTCATCGTTGACCTCTTGGGCTCATGTAGATGGTTTTTGAAGGGAGCACTGTACTCACATGTGCTGTCCTTTTTTCATTGTGCCAATCTATTATTTCACTGAGTGGTGACCCCAGGGGATAGTTTTGGATCAAGGTTTAAAGAGTATCTCGGGGCTGGCCTCTCCAGGAGTCCTCTAGTCTGTCCAGGAAGTGTGGACTGGTAAGAGTTTGAGTCCTGTTCTGTTTCCCTTCCCATCTCTCAAGGGTTATCCAATGTGCCGTGATCAGAACAGGCCGTGGTCACAGCCAGGCACTAACTGGCCCTTCCAGTCTCAGGGCAGGTGAGGCTGTGGCTTCTGAAGGCTGCCAGCCTCGTAGCCTAAGTTCTCATCTGAGGCTCTGGTCTCCTTCCTCCTCTGGCTTCTGATGAGTAGAGACCACTAGTTGTATGTTCAATGGCTGCTCGACAGATTTTAAGACCCAGGACCCTGGTTTGTCACCGGCTTGGGTCTGGAGTGGGTGGGTGGTTGGGTAGCAGGATTCCCGACTGTATCCCTGAGGAGATCTCAGGAAGGGTCCCCTGGGTGTCTGATGATGTCACAAAGCCCTCCTCCCCCAGCCAGTGCTGCCACGCTGACCTGGGGGGCCATGGCCACGGCCTGCGCCTCCCAGTGCTGGGGACGCCCCATTCTCTGTGACGGCTGAGCTCCGGACACCTGTGAAACCCCAGGGGCCCTACCCACTGCCCACCACGGCCACCATGAACCAGCTCTGGAACCTGGGACGCTTGGGGCCCTTCGAGGGCACCTCAAAGTGGGTCCCCATTCTGGGGGAGCTGCAGAAGACCCTGCAGAAGGGCGAGTACCTGCCCCTCGGCCCGCTGCCCATGTTTGAGAGTAACTTTGTCCAGGTCCCCGACTCCCTCCACCCCGGGGCTGAGAGGGGGCTGGACCGGAGCGGGGCGCCTGGGCCATGAAGCGGGTTGTTTTAGGAGGGGCTGGGAGTCGGGGCCGAGTCTTGGGTGACTCAAACAGCTAAGCTCCTAGCCTGAAGCCTGGGGTTTGAACCCCCCCAGAGGTCCCTGAGAATAACAGCCTGCCGACCTACTTTCCAGTGGTCAAGGCCTTACAGCCCTGTGGGGCACAGCTCTGTTGGGCACAGGTGGGAGGGCCGGGAGCCAAGCGACCACACAGCAACTGGTGTGGTGTTTTTTTTGGGGGGGGGCTCTGGATCTGAGTCTGTGGGGGGTTCAATCAGTTAAGGTTGGGGTTCCAGTCCACCCAGTGCGCATCTGGGGATGGGCCGGGAGCCCGCTCCACCCTGGCACACCCAGGGGCACCCGGAGTCAGTCGGCTGCGTGACAGTTGGTTTGGGATCCAGGCAGCTGGGGGCTTGGGCGGCGGGGGCCGGGGTGCGGCGCGCTACAGGAAGATGTGGTCCCAGCCCCTGTCGATGGCCACCCCAGGTGACACACCGAGGGGACCCTGTGTACCTGCATCACGGCTCCAACCGCCTGACCATGGGTGTGGCTGCCAGCCTGCCTGGCCTGGCGCTGCCGGACATCCTGCTGATTGCGAAGCCCCCCGAGGACGAGGACTCCTCCAACCTCGTCCTCACCAGGTGCCTCCACCCCGCCCCACGCCACCCCACCCCCGCGCCGCCCCCCGTCTCAGTCCCCTGGTACTGCTGTGACGGAAACACCACAAGGGGGTGGCTTCAACAAACAGGAATTTATTTTCTCACAGTTTAGGCGGCGTAAAGGTGCCCTCTCGGGGAAGTAGACTGCCACAAGGGGGAGGGTCCTTGTTGCTTGGTTCCCTGGTGGTCTTCCTGTGCTTAGAGTCCGTCTGCCCCCATTTCTTCCTGCTTCTCTGGGCCTCGTCTGCTCGGTTATGTCTCAGGAGGTTGACTTACATTCTACCCCACCCTGATACAGACTTCTGGTGGCGCAGTGCCTAAGGCACCTGACTGCTAATCAGAAGGCTGGCGGTTCAAACCCACCAGCCACTCCTCGGAAAGAAGGTTGGGCGATCTATTTCCGTAGTGATACTGCCTCGGAAACCCCAGCAGGGGTCGTTATGAGTGGGGACTGACCAGAGGGCAGTGAGTTTTGAGGCTTGCCCCTCCCAGGGCTGCAGCAAACCTTCCAAATGTAGGGAATTGCCTCCTGCCTCATTAACAAGCAAAGAGAACCCGGCCCGGCGGGGATTCGACCGCTGGCCGTGGCCGGGTTAGGAGCGGGGTCAGTCCACGCGACGCGCTCGCCCCGCCCCCGCAGGATGATCCCACTGGGCCTGGTGCACCTCTACGTCCACGACCTGGCCGCCTGGCGCCTGAAGCTGCGCCTGGCCACCGGCCGCTACTACTACCTGGAACTGGACGCCCCTGACTGCGAGGTGGGCTTCCTGTTCGACCGTTGGATCCGCCTCATCCACCTGCTTCACGAGCCGGCCACCAGCTGCGCCCCCAGCGCCATGCACCTGCTGCCCCCGGTGGGCCTGTCCCGGTCCGCGCGATTCGCCTCCACCTGGCAGCTGCAGGTGGGGCGCTGAGCCCACGGACCCCCGCGGTGAAGGCGGGGAGACGGTCCGGGCACCTGCTCTGCCGGTGCAGAGGGCAGGGGTGTCTGGAGCCTCAAGTCCAGGGTCCCCAGGAAGAGGAGGGGGCCGGGACCCCCGGGTCTGAGGGAGGAGGGACTGGGGTTCCCAGGACTGAGGGAGGAGGGCCGGCCGGACACCCAGCTGGCAGGTGAGGGATTCGCAGACACGGGGTGAGGTCTTCTCTCTCCTGACCCCCCGCTTCCCGCCCGCAGGACCCATCCCAGACCAAGCGCTCAGGTGAGCCCCCAGCTCTTGCTGCCTGGCCCCGCAGAGCCCTCTCCCACGCCAGCCCCTCCTGCTCATGCAGCCCGCCGGTCCCGTGGGCCCCACTCGGCGTGATGCGGGGCTCCCTGACCTGCTGTCTCCGCCTCTCTTCCCAGTCACCATCCGGAAGCCTGTCCTTCCTTACAAACTGCTGCTATCCCAGAAGCAGAGGAGGGCGAAGGTGGGCCCGGGATGCAGCTGCGGCCCTGGCTTTGGGCCTCGGGGACCCAGGGCCTGCTGCCCCTGGCCTCACCATCCCTCCCCGGCCCCACCCTCAGGCTCTAAAGCGCAAGTTCAAGTCTCAGGCCGTGGGTGACTCTGTGCCTCTCATCTGGTCACAGCCGGAATCGACTGACAGTAGAAAGAAGGTCACAGCAAAGAGGTAGGCTTGCCTCGGCACCCTGCTGCCCATGGGGGAAGGATGAGGGGTCCAGGGCCTGGCCCCCAGGTTCCAAAGATGCTGTTGCCAGGTTTGCTTGGTTGTAATTAGGTCTTTCTCTGTGGAGCTGTTGGGTGGGATCGTACTGCTGACCTTGTAGTTAGCAGCCAGGGCTTAACCAGTGCACCAGCGAGGGCTCCTTGTGACAATAGGCAAACTCACAGAGACAGAAAGCAGGACAGAGGTGCCCAGGGCTGGGGGGTGGGTGGCGGGGGTCCTTGTTTAGTGGAGACACTTTCTGTTTGGGGTGATAAAAAGATCTGGACATAGAGGTGACAGTTACACAACATGGCGGACACACTAACGCCATAAGCTGCACCTGTCGCAATAGTCAACATGGTGTTGTGTTTCATTGCGTTATTTCCACCTCAATAAAACTTTAAAAATAACAATCAAAAGGGGAAATTTTATATATATTTTTTGTCGTTATTGTGTGACATTGAATCGGTTCCGACCCACAGTGACCCCGTGGGACAGAGTAAAACTGCCTCTGGGTCTTCTAGGCTGTAATGGTGGTGTAGTACCTAAGGCATTTGACTGCTAACCAGAAGGTTGGCAGTTCAAACCCACCAGACACTCCATGGAAGGAAAATTAGGCAGTCTACTTCCATAAAGATTTACTGCCTCGGAAACCCAATGGGGGTCGCTATGAGTCAGAATCTACTTGATGCGGTAGGCGGGTAATCTTTCAGGAAGGAACTGGGGTGGCACAGTGGTTAAAGCATTAGGCTGATCACCAAAATGTTGGCACTTTGAACCCACCAGTTGCTCCATGGGAGAAAGATGAGGCAGTCTGCTTGGTAAAGACTGACAGCCTTGGAGACCCTGTGGGCAGTTCCACTCTGTCCTCTAGGGGCGCTGTGAGTCAGTGGACTCCACGGCAGTGGGCGTGGTTTGGTTTTCTTGAATCTTCACAGCAGATTGCCAAGTCTTCCTCGCACAGAGCCTTCTGTGTTCTGAGTTCGAGCTGCCAGCCTTTGGTTTAGCAGTCCGGCTCCTTAACCCAGTCAGGGTGAGCTCATGGTATGACCTTATGATCCAGGCATTCCACTCGGAGGTATATTCCCAAAAGACTTGGAATCAGGAACTCAACACAATACTTGCCTACTGTTCACTTCAGCACTGCTCACGGCAGCCAAAAAGTGGAAACAACACCACTGTCGTCAACAGAGGAGTCCCAAACCAAACCAAACCCACTGCCGTAGAGTTGTATCTGATTCATAGCGACCCCTCCTTGGGTTTCCAAGGTGGTATCACCACGGAAGTAGATTGCCCAACCTTCCTTCCGAGGAGTGAACCGCCAGCCTTATGATTGGCAGCCAAATGTCTTAGGCACTACGCCACCAGAGCTCCTAACAGATGAGTGGAGACACAAAATGTGTTGGATGTTAAAGAAAAAAAACACACAAGCTGAGTCAGTTCCGACTCAGCTTCATATTTCCTGTGACAGCAGGTGATGGGTTTGAACCAATGACTTTTTGGTTAGCAGTCGAATGCCTTCACCACTTTGGCACCAGAGCTCCATAACTGAATACCAGTCAGTCATAGGAAGAGAAAGGAAGTTCTGACACATACTACAACACAGAAAACCTTGAAAACATGCCAGGAAAAACCAGCCAGTCACAAAGAATGTCTTCCCACGTCCAGAATAGACAAATCCATAGGGATGGAAGCTCACCTGGGGTGACCAGCAGCTGCAAGAGAAAGGAAGTTCTGACACATACTACAACACAGAAAACCTTGAAAACATGCCAGGAAAAACCAGCCAGTCACAGAGAATGTCTTCCCACGTCCAGAATAGACAAATCCATAGGGATGGAAGCTCACCTGGGGTGACCAGAGGCTGCAAGGAGCACGAGGAGTTAGCACTTAAACAAAAAGACACAGCCAGCTAGGTCAAGTGCTGTCAGTAAATCGCATACTTGTGAAAAGTTGAATGGACAAAACTAGTGCCATAGGCATGTCTGCAACCGTGACAAAGAAAATGAGTTGCTGCTGAGGCCGCGTGGGGACCAGCAAACACCTCATGGGATTTCATTCGTTGTGTTGTTGTTACATGCCATCGAGTCGTCTCCGACTCATAGAGACCCCATGCACAGCAGAACAAAACACTGCCTGGTCCCACACCAGCTCCATGATCCTTGCTATACCTGAGCCCATCATTGTAGCCATGGTGTCAATCCATCTTGTCAAAGGCCTTCCCCTTTTTCACTGACCCTCCACTTTACCAAGCATGACATCCATCTCCAGGGAATGGTACCTCCTGACAACATGACCAAAGTAGGGGAGACAAAGTCTGGCCATTCTCGCTTCCTAGGAGCATTCTGGCTGCACTTCTTCCAGGACAGATCTGTTAGTTCTTTTAGCAGTCCATGGTACCTTCAGCATTCCTCATCAGCACCACAGCTCAAAAGCATCAACTCTTCTTCAGTCTTCCTTATTCATTGTCCAGCTCTCACATGCATATGAGGCGACTGAAAATACCATGGCTTGTGTCAGCTGCACCTTAGTCCTCAAGGAGGTATCTTTGTTCTTCAGCACTTGAAAGAGGTCTTTTGCAGCAGATTGGCCCAATGCAATGTCGTCTGATGTTTTGACTGCTGCTTCCATCGGTGTTGATTGTAGAACAAAGTAATATGAAGTCTTTGATAACTTCAATCTTTTCTCCATTTATCATGATGCTGCTTATT